GAGTGTTATAGAACTAAACGTAAATGACAGTAAATCCTGTGACACTAATATCATTTACAGTAAGTTCCAAGTAAAATCATGTCGTATCAAAATGATGTCACTATCATCTACTGCCCTGTAGCCGCAAAACCTGTCTACAAAACTCAGTCACTACACTTTGCAGTAAATCCTGTGATATATTTGGAGACGTCTCTCGTTGAGTCAAACGCAAGGACTGTTACTATTAGTAAGAGTTTGATGTAGCGTCTTATCACGTCATCGAGACAACAACAACAACAACAACTTGCATTTATATAGCGTCCTTCATGCGGGCTAGCGTCCCGGAGACAGCTCACTCGCTTGACAGGATTTTACTGTGAAATGCAGTAACCGTATAGACCCAGCAGCCAATTTGCTCAACCCGTTAACATCTGGGGGATTGTTGACCAGGACACCGGGAGAGAGAAACTCTCTTCTCTTTTCCAATAGTGGCGCAGGGTAGCGTGCCAGAGCGCTGAACAGGCAGTCGGGACCTCGGTTTAACGTCTAATCCGAAGAACGGTGCCCCCAGCGCAACACTCCCCCAACACTGCGCTGGAGTGTCAGCCTGGACTGCGTGAGTTCAAGGTCCTCGCCTACGGCTTGCACCCACAGCCATCTGACTCAGGGACAAGAGTGGTGGTAGTCAGGATGAGACTGAACCACAAGATTTCTCTGTTCCCCATTTATCTCTCCCCCTTTTTTTTCCTTGTGGTAAATTAACAAAACATGTACATTGTCGTGAAAATCATTCAGTAATGGAAATCTGGAGAAATTGCACTCGATTCTAGATTTATTTCTGTAGCATCCAGAATTTTAGCAAACTCTCAAAAATGCAGCCGTAACTTTGAAGCCGAGTTTTTTCTCTTGAGTTGCTTTTCAAGAACCGACATAAAGCTGGTCTCAGAGTGAGGACTGGTTTGAACTACTGCTGTGCGCAATTGGCTGCCACGTTTCACCCACGAAATACACAGTTAATCCAGTTTACAGTATATTCTGCGAAGCTTCTTTGAGACGTCTTGAGGATGTGAAACTGTGCTATATCAAATGCAAGGATTATTATTATTATTATTTATTCTATCAAATGTAAGAATTATTATGAGTATTATGTTATAAATAACTCCCCAAACTCTAAAGCTGCTAAAATCTTATACAACTAAGAGTAATTGTGGACCTGGGGCATTCCCAGTCAGCTATCCCCAAAGGTATTTGTGCAAATTGAGACTGTAGTTTTACCACAGATGCTCACAGAATTTATTTTAAGTCAGCCGGGTGTCTGACACATGAGGAAACCCGCCACCAAGCTCAAGCGCTTGCATTCAAATCAGATTTTGAGTGCTACGTAGGGAAATCTCCCTGTATCTAGAATGGAGTGCATTCTCCTTCCCTGTGGAGGGATGCACTCTGCTCACTGAATGAGTATTGGGTGAGAGCCAGTTTGGCTTTGTCATAGTCTACGTTGAGAGCAACCTGGAGTCTAACCAGCTAAAGCCATGCAGTTTGCCATTGAGAGCATTGTCTGGCAAGCTTCCTGCCTCTTGTCTAGCTAAAACCACCCGACCGGTTTGTAGGGTTAACAAGAGTTGAGTCGGAACAACCGTTGTCCTTACTAACCTATCTTCCCTTCCAGGATCCTGCCGCCGAACCAAGTTGGCTGGTCTGTCATCAGCAGTGCCCTGGAGTGCTGCAGATCCCTCTGGCTCGATGATACGTCTCAATGCTCATAACGGGGAATTGCCGTCGTGTGCAGCGGCTGCGCATTTGCAGGAAAAACGTGGCACAGTAAGGTCCCATAAACAGCTAGTGATTAAATTTACTTACATCTCCCCCCACCCCACCCCAGCACTGTACTGGAACGTCAACTTAGACTGTGAGCTCAAGGGTCTGACTCATGGCTTTGAACCCACGACCTTCTGATTCAGAGACCCGAATGTTACCAACTGAGACATAAAAGTCAGCAACGATTTGCTGCTCGGGATAACACAGGGATGTTTAACAGGTATGGATTCCACAGCAAACGACTAGCACGCGTAGCAGGCATAGGTTTGATGGTGAGGAGTTGCGGGTGAAGAGGGGGAGAGAATTTAAACTCTTTAATGAATTAAACTGAACCTTTGCTTCTCATGGCTTTGAAAATGGAGTCATCAGTTCAATAATGAGTAATTTCAATACTGTTCTAACTGTGAAAACGGAGACACTGACAAGTTCAGCTAAGTTCAATACACAGTGGGCGTAAATTGCTTTGGTGAAAATTGTCACTTTTAAGTAGTTCATTTGGGGCAAATAGTTACCTATTAACGTGACTCACGTATAGCGCTGCTCTTTGTTGTTGGTTTGAACACGTAGCCTTCTGCTCCGAGAGCACGACTGACTGAGCCAGGCTGGCACCTTGTGTCATCCATAATAATAATAATAATCCTTGCATTTGATATAGCGCCTTATCACGTCATTGAAACCTCTCAAAGAGCTTTGCGGGATGCACTGTAAAATGGAATGACTGTGTATTTATGGGCGAAACGTGGCAGCCTGTTAAACACGGCAATATCCCACAAACAGCCATGAGGTGAGTGACCTATTTTATTTGTGGGGGGGGGGGGAATTTTTGAGACGTCTCGATAAGACATGATAACGCGCTATATCAAATGCAAGGATTCTTCTTGTTATCATTCGTTGGCCAAGGCACCATGAGAGAGAAACCGCCTTCTCTTTTCGAACTGTGCCGTGGGATCTTTAACGTCCACCTGAACAGGCAGACGGGACTTCACTGCAAAACAAAAAACACTGTTTTGAGTTAGTATTACTTTTGCATCTCAATCCCCCACAATTGACTGTCAAAACTTGTGTAGTCACAAGCAGTTGCATAAGTACTTGGAGTAAAAAATAGCATTATGTGTCATCGAGATAGCGCTTTCGACTTTGAGTTGGAAGTTATGGGTTCAAGCCCCCACAAAGCGATTCTGAACTCACAGTCTAGGCTGATGCTGCGATACATCGCTAGGAGCGAGAAAGGGTTTTTTCATGGCCAGGGCATAAACCTGTGGTGACCTTGATGGAGATCACACCTCCGAGACCTTGCATCAGAACGTTCAGCAAGTGTCACCGATTAATCAGCTCACCTCAATCAGTGGCACTCTCAGTGGCACTCTCGCACACTGCGACTGAGCTCCCAGTCTAGGCTGACGCTCCAGTGCAGTGTTGGGGTGGGAGGGCATTGCATTGTCGGGTGAGGTGCCGTCATCGGATGAGACGTTCTCGTCTCGTGTCTGTTCAGGAGGACGTCAAGGATTCCAGGGCGCTATTCCAAAAGAGAAACAGAGTTTCTCTCTCCTTGGCATCCTGGCCAACAATACCCCAGATAAAGTCGGTCATTCACTTCATGCACTGCCTGAAAGGCTGGTGGAAGCAGATTTGTTAATAGCTTTTCAAAGGGAATTGGATAGGAACTTAGAAAGGAAAAATGTGGAGGGTTATGGGGTAAGAGCAGAGAATTGGAACTAGTTGGTAGCTCTTTCAAAGAGCATGCTGTAGGATTCCATGGCTGTTTTGTGGGACATTGCTGTGCGCAGATTGGCTTTGCATTGATCTATCTACAAAATACACTTTGCAGTAAGTCCTGTGAAGCACTTCAAGACCGACATGAAAGGTGCTGTATCAAATAGAAAAATTATTACGCTTTGTGGAGTTGCTAAGCTGCTCCGTCTCTCTCTCTCTGTGTTTCGGTGGTTTTAGATTTGGGGGTAGTTGTGATAAATGGGTGAGGAGTGTTATTTCCCTACATTTGCAGAATGGTAAAGGCAGCGTCAAGGGTTTTAGTTGTTGTTTTTGCACCTTCTACTTCAACAGTGGAAAGGTCAGGGTGGATGGTAAGTGCGTGCGGTATGTTATGTCAAACACGATTTGCTTATAGATCAGAAAGAGGGTGTTTGGCCCCATTGTGTCTGTGCTGGTGCTCAATCCCTCACTGGATGTTTCCATTCCCCCTTCTTCTTACCCCCTTGTGTCTGAGCTGGTGATCATTCTTGCTCACTCCTGTACTTGAGTTCTCTGGTTTCATCTCATTCTCTCGCTCTCACTCCATGTAAATGTTAGTTTTGTCTCGGGGATTTGTTGGCCAAGACATTGGGAGAAACTCCCTTCTGTTTTTCAATAGCACCAGGGGATCTGTAATGTCCGCTTGAACAGGCACCGGGACCTCAGCTTTAACATCTCATCTGAAGGACGGCACCTCACTCCAACACTGCATCAGAGTGTCACAGAAACAGGAATAGGAGTAGGCTATTCAACCTCTCAAATTTTGCTGTTCTATAAGATCATGGCTGATCTGTATCTCAACTTCCAATTCCCTGCCCTTGTCCTATATCCCTAACCAATATCTATCCACCTCAGTTTTGATAATGTGAATGGATCCAACATCCACAGCCTTTTGGGGGAGAGAGTTTCAGATTTCCACTATCCTCTGGGTGAAAAACTGATCCTGATTTCACTCTTAAAAGTGTCAGCCTGGTCTGTGAGTTCAGAATCCCCATGTGGGTGCATGAACATGAAACCTTCTGAGAGAGAGTGCTACCGAGTGACACATAATACTATTCTTCTGCTCGAGTATTTTACTCAACGACCTTGTAAACTGTGCACAGACTCTTTATTGACAGTCATTTCTGAGGGAACTATTGTACTAACTGTCGATTCTCACAACCTTTGCGTGCGTGTGAAAAAAGTATCAGTTACCAACTAAAATAAACTTTGGGCCAAAGCAATAAACCTTTGTGTTGACCAGTTACATAATCAAGCGCAACCGGGTTACCTTGAACTCGAACTCGGGTTAGCCCACGGGCTATTAGCCCAACTTGTATTTTAGTTCCGATTTTGAGAGAGATTAAGTATAGCATTGGCATATATCTGTGAAAGGCTATATCTACTTAATATCTAGGAAGTCCCTGCATGATCGCAACAGGAAGCTGATTGCGTTTACAAAGGCTAGACAGGTGACACTCTAGTACTTACTACTCACACACAGCAAAGTTCTTTCCATCCCTTTTGGAGAAGCGAGTGACGCAAAACACAGAAGTCTCTCGGTGAGTTCAATACCCGTCACGTATTAAGTTGGTATTTTAGTCTTTCCTGCAGAAAATGCTTTCTAAAACGCTCGAGGTCCTGCGAATGTAAACGCGTGTTTGAGTAGCAGCACAAGTACAAGCTTTGCACGGATCAAGTAGTGCTTTGGGATTTATTTACTGCAGGAAACGTAAGGTCGTTTTTTTTTCGTTTAACATATAACCCGTGTAAGTTAATCAAACTGACAATTTGCGTGTAACGGGTTTCCTTTTGTCTCTCGAGTTATGAGTGGTCATTTTCTTTTGATATTAGGATTTGCACTCCCCCCGAACCCCCCCAAAAAAAACCACAGCTTTCCACCCTCTGCCGCACCGCCAAACAGCTCTCAAACCCCGACAAATTGAACGTCTTGAGAATTCCTTATTCCCCACAGCTCCACCAATTCCAGACTGGAATATAAATACTTTGTCCCCAACTCTCACCCTCCCTCGTCAAAGATCAAGTTCGACCATAAGAGCAGAAGAATTTGTTAGACGAAAGAAAAGGTTCAGATTTGAAATTCACTCAGTCTTAGAATTACACGATTTTTACAGCTTTTAAGAAATTCGTACTTTCGATCTAATTTCAGGAACTTTCTTTTCTGTTACATATTTCCCTTATTTGGTTTCTCCTGGTGTCCTGGACAAGCTTTGCCCCACCCCACCACTACTCATGTAAAATTGGTCATTTGCTTCATTGCTGTTTGTGGGGATAATAATAATAATAATTATCCTTGCGTTTGATACACTGCCTTATCACTTCGTTGAGACTCCTCAAAGCACTTCACAGAATATACTGTAAAGTGAATTGACTGTAATAATAATAATAATCCTCGCATTTGATATAGCGCTTTTCATGTCGGGAGGACGTCCCAAAGCGCTTCACAGAACACACTGTAAAGTGAATTGACTGTATATTTGTGGGCGAACGCGGCAGCCAATGGCGCACAGCGGTGTCCCATAAAAAGTTGTGAATTGAGTGACCAAATTATTATTATTTTAAGGATATGTGTCGTGTATAAATTGGCTGCCACCTCAAGGCACAGAATACACACTTCACACTGAAATCCCCGAAGCCCTTTTGAGACATCCTCGCAGCCTTTGCAACTGTATCAAATACAAAGAATATTTATTGATTAATTTGTTCATTTTGCATTAGATTCAGTTAAAGAATCTGCGGAAACAGGCTTCAAAAACAAGACCGAAGCTAAGAAATTGCTAAATTCTGCACGCTGTAAAATGTTGAGCGATAATAATAATAATAATAATTCTTGCATTTGACAGAGCGCCTTATTACAGCTTCGAGAAGTCTCAAAGTGCTTCACGGAGTATACTGTAAAATGAATTGACTGTATATTTTTTGTGGGGAAAACAAAATGAGTGCAAGTCTAGAGCCAGGTGGTGTTTCTCCCCCCTATACCTCGCACCCCCTTCCCCTTTCTCTGCCCTTTTTCAAATACGTATACAACAAAATAGGTTATAAGAAATGGTGCAGAGGAAAGTGCGATTTTCACGGGTTTTTGATCTTTGAGCAGCTGTGAACACGTCTACCAGAGATTACACCGAATGCCTTGTTAGATGCAAAACAAAATGATTGTTTGCAAGTAAACCCTCTTGCAATTTGCTTGGACTTTTAAGCTCCCCCTTAAACACACACTCTTCATATTAGTTTTTGGCACAAGTCCACTTCCTGCCTGGATTTTTTTCATCAAATACAGGGTTGGTGGTGGGGGGGGGGGTTTGGGGGGAGAGGAGATGCAGTTGAATTATTGTTGCTTGCACGGTCGCCTTTTGGGAGATTTTCAAAACTTGCAAAAGAAAACGTTTGATTTGAAGCTACGGACATAAGAAAGAGCTCCAGCAATATGTTAAGCAGAACTATGATTTGACTGTAGACAGCAACGTGTTAAACGAGTCAGCCCCTTATCTCTTCAAAACTGATTTATGAAGAAAAGATTTGATAAGGTTTGGTTATTATATAAAATAATCATACCACTTGCCACACCTCTCGACTTTATCTCGAAAATCATTGAGACTAAAAAAAAAGTCCCTTTCCACTTTCTTTCCATCACTCAGACTGGACTGGTCTGTGGACCTTTTCTGTCCCGGAAATCTCTACGGTTCTACCTCGGCTATGAAATGACTCAATTAAACTGGCGTTAGGTTTTAACGAACAGTGAGTGAGCTTTGTGGTCCTGCCAAGTTAGTGATTTTGATGTTGTCGTTGTTGCAGTTTGTCTTCTGCGGGATGGGCGGTGGCTTACCAAACCTGCTCTCAACATAATGTGTTCAATAGGTATCGTCAGCCTGACTCCGAGTCGAAAGGTTGTGGGCACCGAGTCGAAAAGTTGTGGGTTCGAGCCCCCAGACTGTGACTTGAAATCACACAGTGTAAGCTGAACTCTCTAACGCAGGGCTGCATTGCTGGGGATGCCGTCCTTGGCATGAGATGTTACACTGAGGTCCCTGTCCAGAGAAGGGAGTTTCTCCTGGAATCCTGGCTAACAATTCACCAAATAAAATTGGTCACTCGCTTCTATGGGACACCTCTGCCCGCAACTGGCTGCCACGTTTCCCCCACAAGAACACACAGTCAATCCACTTTACCAGCACATCCTGTGAAACGCTTTGAGACATCTCAACGATGCGTTAAGGCTCTGTATCAAGTTATGATTTTGTATAGGATTATGATTATTATTATTATTAACGGCTCAACCAGTGCCACAGGCTTCCTATAAAGAGATCGAGCAGAAACCTCCCATAAACAATGGTAAAAGCCGACAATGATATGAGTCAAGACACTCTACGAAAAACTTGTCTGTCTATAAGTTTTCTATTCTTTAGAAGTGTGGTTCCATCCAGAATTACCACTCGACCAATAACATTTTGAACTGTTATTTCCAAATCGCAAGATCTGACCCCAGATAGGTGGTAATATTTGCTCATTTGAAAGCCAGGGCTGATTGCACTGAAAAGCAATTTACTTTTCCACCTACTGCTGGATTCTGGTTTAACAGCATAATAATGTTTTGACAAAACAACAACTTATTGGGGCAAATGTTTTGACACGTTGAACAGTGGCACGTTGAACAGGACCTAACCCATTGTGGGTGTGTTGTCCTGGGAACCCTTGCACGAGTTAATTGCATTTTTCTTATCCTTTCATTTGATATAGCACCTCCTCACGTCATTGGGACATCTCAAAGCGCTTCACAGAATATATTGTCAATTGGATTGACTGTATATTTTGTGGGCAAAACTCGGCAGCCAATTGCGCACAGCAATGTCTCACAAACAGTCATGGATTGAGTGACCAAATTATTATTTTTTTTTGGAGGGGACGGATTATTATCCCTGGAAAGTGATCTGCCAATCAACAATCAACTAATAACCAGGTTCCTACTTACTGCTAGGTAAACAGGGGCGTGTGGCTTAAGCAAATTTACCTACGATTTTGTCCTGCCCAGGAATCAAACGTAGGTCCTCTTGTTTGCGAGGCGAGCGCTCTAACCACAATGCTATAGGACTTGACAGAATTAAGAGCACCCATAAGAGCAACCCCCGGGGAATGCTAGCTCGATGTGCATATTTAGACGGCCACCATTTCAAAAATCACCAGCCAGCAAGAAGAAAATCTTCGCAGCTACGTGTTGACCAAGTTTCTTGCTGTGAATGCAATTTCCTTTTCAGCACGTGTTGAAACAATTCGTATCAGCAGCTGCTTGTGGTTTCAGTCCAGGGGTTTTACGTAAAGATAATGGCGGAATAAATTCGTTCTGCAATAAGTGCAAGTGGAAATAATACTTAACAGTATGGGTTGATAAGGGGGCAAATTTCACCTTGAAAGGCTCCTGTGGTGGATACCAGTGTGGAGCTAAGATTGTCAGAGGAGGCATCACACTCATAGCTACAGACGCAATCTGTTTGATGTTCTTCACACTTTTACCTGAAATGTGATTTACTGACTGGGTGCAAGATTATATTTTTATCACGGATATACTCATTAAGAATGATCAGGTGTCAGCCTGGGACAGATAGCAGCATTCTCGCCTCCGTGTCAAGAGGCCGTGAGTTCAAGCTGCAGGTCAAGACGTTGAGCTCATAATCTAGAGTAGATTGTGCAATGCTGGGTGAGCTCTAGATTGTCAACAGGCGCGGTCTGCTTGTTCAAGTGAATGTTAAAGGTCTCGCTTCACAGAACATATTGTAAAGTGGATTTTCTGTGGATTTTGCGGCTGAAACGCAGCAGCCAATTGCGCCCACCAGCGTCCCACAAACAGCCATGGGTTGAGTGGCTCGATTTTTCCTAAAAGGGATTATTACCCCCGGAAAACGATTTGCCAATCGGCTAACAATCCGGTTCCTACTGACTGCGAGGTTAAGAGGCGTGTGGAGTAAGGAAACCTGCCTAACATTTCGCTCTGCCCGGGAATCGAACCCGGGGTCCTTTCGTTTGCGAGGTGAGTGAGCTAAGCACAACTCTACAGGACTCCACAAATTGGGACGATGCAACCCTTTCATTTACAATCTACAATCTCTTTCGACAATCTTCTCATTGTAATATCTAGTAGTTTCCTAAATGAGCTTTCCGTCCTGGCCTCAAACAGTCTTTCGTAGCTATGGATTCGGTGTGTAGAAATACGTCCAAAAGTTGCCCTTCACACCCTAAACCTTTTCCTGTTGTCCTGCCGTATCTGGTTGATTTCGTTTGACTTCCTATTACTTATTTGGTCTCTTGATTACAAGGTTAGAAACTCTGAGGCATCTCTTTTTTCCAAGGCTGAAAGAACCCCGGCTTATCCGGCTTTTGCTCATCGAGGGCTCTGGGATGCAGCCTGCGTGATGGGCGCGAGATAAAAATGGAAGTTGTTGTCGTTGCTCATAGCTCAGCTCTCTTAATGCCTTGCTGTCCTCGCTTTTCTCCGTCTCTAAAGTTGGGAGTCAGTGTTTTCACTATCCTCTCCTCTCCTCTGCCTCCGACGCTGTGGAATCAGCCTCGCTGCTCTCCTCTGAGCTGCCTCTTTGATAAGATGAAACAACTGCATGCTTTACTCTGGAAGCAAGCGTCAATATAGTTTGTGCAACAATACAACTAACACGCCATTCATTGTCAACCATGTTGCACGCAAGCCATTTCCTCAGGTTTTATACATTGTGGAATTGTCTGTGTGATGCAATGCAGTCTCACACCCTGACGTCTCAACAGTAAACAACACACAGCACAATTTCTTTTGTCTTAATAATAATAATAATAATAATAATAACAATAATCCTGGCATTTGATACAGCGCCTCGTCACGTCTTCTAGAGGTCTCAAAGCGCTTCACAGAATATACTGCAAAGTGAATTGACTGTATATTTTGTGGATGAAACGCGGCAGCCAATTGCGCACAGCAGTGACCACAAACAGTCGTGGGTTGAAGTGACCAATTTATTGTTTTTTTTGTAGTTCTGTTCGGGTAACCATGTTGTGTTAACAACTACCAGAGCTACACACGGTACAGTCCAGCAATGGAGTTCAACAAATGGCTAGAAATTTAGATTCTTCCTCTTTGGATCATTTTAAATTTGTACGTCTTCACCTAAATTCTACTGCAATTATTTATTTATTGTTTAAAAAAGATACCTATAAACCTTGTACTTTCCCCACTGCTGTTTGTTCAAGAGCAAAAAAATAATAATGCTGGAACTAGGACCCAGCTGAGTAATTAACGTCAATAGTTGGCGAGCGAGAGGCCTTCACAGTGGCAGGAGGGGAGCCTTTCATCACGAAAACTATTTATCTGGTCCTTTTTCTAAAAGAAATACAACCACAAGTAACGTAGTATTTTTCCACTGCTGCAAAGCTAAGTTTTATGTTCGTTTGACAGAACATTACAAATGAAATGTAGCTTGAACTATATCCCAGCAGCCCCTTTAAAAAAAACCACCACCACAACAACAACTTGCATTTATATAGCGCCCTTCAAGTGGGGTTGCGTGCCGGTTTGCTCGAAAACAAAGTCTTTAAAAACAAATCTCAGTTCAATAGTGGTGTAATAATAATAATAATAATCCTTGATTATAGCTAGTGCCTTATCACGTTGTTGAGATGTCTTAAAGTGCTTCACAGGATACACTGTAAAGTGCAGTAACTGTGTATTTCGTTGGGCGAAACGCAGTAGCCAGTGTGCACTCAGCAATGTCCCACAAACAGCCGTGGAGCGAGTGACCAATTTTATTTGGGGGATTGTTGGCCAGGACACCGGGTGAGAGCGAAACTCCCTTACCTTTTTGAGAACTTTCACCTGAAAAGGCAGACGGGAGCTCAGTATAACGTCTCATCCGAATGACAGAAACCTCCAACAATGCAACAGCCCGCAGCGCTGCATTGGAGAGTCACCTTGGACTGTGTGATTCCAGGTCTCGACGTGGGGACTTGAACCCACAACCTTCCGGCTCAGAGGCGAAAGCTGCCCCAGGCTGACACGCGAGGAGCTAGACTAGAGAGTGAGGGAGGTCTGGGGTGGGGGTGTGGGGGCGGTGTGGGGGGGTGTTGGACAGAGCAGCGATGACGACATATGAGCCAGGGTTCCTGATCCAGGACCCCATTATTGGAAGTGTGTTTGTGTTGGGTGTCGCGTTGATGCGACAAGACTGGGTTTGGCTCCTCTATCCTGCCTCGACCCCCACTGTTACAGGAGGATAGAGGGGGAAGGGGAAAGCGATAGAAATAACTGAGTGCGATTGCAATGCTGCTGACTAGTTTCCTGTTTATGCTGGCGCAGAGGAAGTCAAGCGAATACCTTGTTTTCAAGAGTATGAAACCTGGCCTGTTCCCTTGATAAAAGCAAAGTGTAGAATAGGATTTGCCCAGCGACCGACCGATGAGTGTCCAAGCCTGGAACTCCACTGGTCCTGGCACAACTGCTGTTGATTTGCTGATCAGACTGAACGCTAATCCTAACCTAAATCAGAACTCCTCACTGCAAGCCCAGGGCTGGAACACAATAGGTAGTTGGTTTTCCTTCCTATCTTGTCTTTAGAATATCGTGCCAACCTTCTCTGTCGGGTAGGTCTTCTACCAGGGCAATGTTGAAGTGTGTGGGGTGTGGGGAGAGTGGTGGAGGGTGGGTGGGGGAGGGAAAGGAATTCATTGGTACATTCAGATTGGTAAGATATTCGCATCCAAACTCCTCTACCTCCCCACACTTGGGCCTTCCGCGTGTCCGTAGGACTCTCCGCTCCATCATCGGCGGCCGTGCCTTCAGCCACGATGGCCTGAAGCTCTGGGGCTCCCTGCTCAATCCCTCTGCTTTGTCCTTCTCTTTAACTGTCTTCAGATCGCATCTGAAGTCTCAACAACAACAACAGAAACAACTTGCATTTATATAGCGCCCTTCACTCTGGGTAGAGCGTCCCAGAGACTCTTTGACCCTACCTATGGTCACCTCTCCCCAGCTCGGCGTCAAATTACAACCGTTGTAGAGCGCTCCGAGACCCAGCCCTAAGTGAAGAGCGCTGGATGAATGCTTGATCTGTAGCTCAGTGGTTACCTAGCAGTAAAGACGTTGTTAGTCGATTGGCAGATCACTTTTCCGGGGGTAATAATCCCTTCAAAAAAATAATAATTAATTGGTCACTTGAATCCACGACTGTTTGTGGGGACGCCGCTGTGCGCAATTGGCTGCCGTGTTTCTCCCGCAAAATATACAGTCAATTCGCACCGAGATTATTATTTTCGTTGTTGTTGTTGTCGTGATAGTTGAGGCGAAGAGATATAAAGACAAGGGCTCGTGAGGGAGGGAGGGCAGGAGGGAGGGAAGGCAGGAGGGAGGGAGGGCGGCTTCAATTGTTGTTGTAAACTGTTTTCATCCCTTGAAAACCACAAGCCACGTATGCACATTTCGCCCACAACACACCAAGGATTGACATCAGCCTGTTGTTGAACTGAGCAAAGCCACACAACTCACAAGAGAGTGAGAGTCTTCACTTTAACCTCTTCTGCTATAGACAAAGCAGCACTACAGCCTTTTGTAACCTTTTGTATTTCTGACAGAAGAAAATTCTTTCTTCCCCACACAAGGGTGGGTTCAGATAAAGAAGAAACTGATCTGGTTTCTTCCAGAAACATCCTCCCTTCCCCTCCGATCACAGCAGAACCTCAGCAGAGGTGTTTTTCCTCATTTCATAGTATAATAATCCTTACACTTGATACAACGCCTTATCCCAGCCAGTTATGCATCCACGTTGGCACCGTCCCTTTGATATCATGGGCTTCTATTTTGCTTACAAGTCTCGTATTCCTTCCTAATAGTCTGCAACTATATTCCAACTTTCACTGAAAAGCCATCAGAAACCCCAGAACTGCGTAGATGCCCCAATGACCTAAGACCAGGAAGGGTTGGGGAAGGATTGGTATAATTGGTGTAGCCAAGTACATGAAAGTGCTGTAAATGTTTGATGGATGGGAGGCTCTGAATCTCCACCTATTACATTAAATTGAGTTACACGACTTTTTTATAATCTGATTTATTTCCAGTGGACAAATAAAAAATACTCCTGGACCTTCCATTCCATTGTGGAGTCCTGTAGCTCAGTGGTTAGAGCACTCGCCTTGCAAGTGAGAGACCTGGGTTCGATTCCCGTCAGGGTGAAACCTTGGGCGAGTTTCCTTACTCCACACACCTGACAATAAACCCCTCAAGAAATTTTTAAGAAAAAATAATCATTTGGTCGCTCAATCCACGACTGTTTGTGGGGACACTGCTGTACGCAATTGGCTGCCGCATTTCGCCCACAAATGTACAGTCAATTTATTTTACAGTATATTCTGTGAAGTGCTTTGAGACGTCTATAATAATAATAATATTATATATTGGGACGGCCTCCCAACATGAAAGGCGCTATACAAATGTAATCTTGTTGTATTATTATTATCACATCGTCGAGACGTCTCAAAGCGCTTCACAGAATATAATGTAAAGTGAATTGACTGTGTATTTTTGTGGGTGAAACACGGCAGCCAATTGCTATTTTTAAACAATAGTCTATTATACGACATTAAAACACCACATGCCCACACCCGATTGGAAATAAAAGGAAACATGTTGTTATGCGGGCAAACGAGCAATGAGACCAGGGTTCATTTAAAATACTTGCAGGTAAATTTAGATACGAAGCATTAGACCACGGGAAGTGAAGTGACTGTACTTTGTAGGCAAATGTTATCATTACCACTGTACAGAAACAGAAATAGAAGAAGGTCTGCAGCTTGTGGAAGTAAGAGTTGGGGAGGCCAACAAGCAGGACATTGGCCTATGAGGGTTTCGGTGGTCTGAGGGGTTGAGGCATTGGTGGAGCCGGGCGATGTTGCGGAGGTGGGGGAAGGCAGAGCGGGTCATGGCACGGATGTGGGGGGAAGAAAGGACAGTTGAGGGTCGAACAAGTGATTGAAACTTCAGTCGAAAACCCTTTGGGGTGCGGACAATATTTTGGGGGAGAGAGAGAGAGAGAAATCGTTGACGAGTTGGTTGGTTTTCTTGCAGGTTAACATCTGTGGGTCAAATCCCGAGACCGTTCGCAACCATGTCCATGAACGTGACGGGCATTTCCCAGGGGCCGGTCTGCGATCTGAGGGCCGGAGTCCTGGAGAAGGTCGTCCTCCCTTGTCTGTACACCGTCATCATCTTTGTGGGGGTCCCGGCCAACTTCTTGGCCACCTGGAAGTTCATGCAACAGTCCCACCGTCGACACGGTGTCCTCATCTACCTGATGAACCTGTCCATGGCTGACCTGATCAGCTGTCTGGCTCTGCCCTTCCGGGCGGCCCTGCTCCTCTGGGGGGACGGGTGGAACGAACGTTCGGTGGTCTGCACCACTTTCATGATCATCGTCAACTTCAGCTTCTACTACACGGTCAGCTGCAGCACCGTCTTCCTGGCGTTCACCAGCGTCAGTCGCTACGCCATGATCGTCAAGCCCAACAACCGCCGGCTCAACCGCTTCTATGAGACGGGCTTCGCCAAGTGGGGTTGCGGCCTGACCTGGGCGCTCACCGTCCTCCCCGTCCTCTCCCTCAACCTCAACTACTTCATCAGCGAGATGGCCAACACTCTGCCCGAGGAGCAGGAGGGGGACAGGGTATGCTACAGCATGCGGCTGCAGTACGGCAAGAGGGTGTCGGCCATGGGTTTCGCCACAGTGGCCGTCCTCTTCCTCCTGCTCTTAGCCGCCTTCGCCTTCTCCTACGCCTCCATTGCGCTGCACCTGTGCACCATCAGGAGGCGCTCCCTCAGCCAGCGCAACCGTGTGATTCACGTGCGGGCGCAGATGATCATCATCGCCGCCATGACGGGCTTCGTGGTGTGCCACCTGCCCTACCACGTCTACCAGCTGGTGACCAGCCTGCGGAGACTCAGTGACATCCACTGCCAATGGCTGCTGGACACCCATCACGTCAAGCTCATCACCCTGTGGTTCGTCTCGCTCAGCAGCTGCCTGAACCCCATTCTGTATTACCTCCTCTCCAAGTCCTTCGTGGAGGGCAGGAGGTGATTGGGATTGCGCGATGGAGAGAATGAGGAAGGAGGAGGAGGAGGAGGAGGAGGAAGAGAAAGAGAAGAGGAGAAGGAGAGATGGTTGGATGGTTGGCAGTGGAGGAGGGAATGGGGAAGTCACAAAACACACAGTCAACACACTTTACAGTCTATTCTGTGAAGCGCTTTCAGACGTCTCAACGACGTGGTATCAAATGCACGGATTATTATTATTATTAAGACTTTGAGGGGGAGGGGAGCAGGGCAGAGGGGAGGAGAGGAGACTCTCACTCCTTCCTTGTGGTTTTATGATTGATTGCTTGACACTTAAGACGTTAAAGATCATGTGAAGGGATTGCCGTTCGCCTACGCAAAGGGCTACATCCCACACAGATGTTTCCGTAGCCATCTGGTGTGACAGCATGGTGTCCAATTTACATCCTCCCCCTTCCTCTCCTCCCCCACCTCTGACGCACGCCTTTACATTTGAAAGTAAACGTAAATCGGCCGATCATCAGTTAGCAGACTCTCCTGTTTGCTCTCGGACACCCTCCCACCGCTCTCGACTCCAACCCACAGCTCGGGTGCAAACCCCTAACTGTCCAGCTCCTCGGGAAAGGCGCCGTGTAACTACAAGCTATTGTTGTTCTCCGCCACCCAGGTGTCTCAGCAGCAGGTTCGTGCTATGGGAACAAACCAGTTCTCCACCGTCTCGAAATCGCTCACGGCCCCCCACGGTGGGGGTGGGGGAAGAGCGGGGAAGGCAAGGGAGTGGGGTTAAATGGGAGAGATCTTGTGCGTGCATACGTACGATGGGTCGAATGGCCTCCTGCTCTGTGAAAATTGCATGATTCCAAATCTTTTCTGTCCCTCGACAACAACACCGACAACCTGCATTTACATAGCACCCGCCACGCAGAGTGGCACCTCGGAGCGCGAGCTGTGGGGTGGGGTGGGGGCTGCGGGGGGTGGTGGGGAGGTGACGGTAAGCACGGTTAAAAGGGAAGAAACCTGCTCCGATCTTAGGAGAAAATAAAACTCCTCGCTGACCACAAGCCAAGTCGGTTGGCGTCGAAACATTTACTGTAGAAGTATCTGCCCTTTGCACAAATGTAACCGGGCAATGAATGCCATGAAATGCAGTGAAAGAGCAGCCGGGCAGTTAACACAGAGGAGGGCATAAAATATAACCCACAAAGGCATCAAAAGTAGTCGGCTGCGGAGGCAGCTCAAGGACTCTGTGGGGGTGGGAGGGGGTGGGGGGAGAGATTAATATTTTATGCTGTGAGTTTGCTGAATTTTGTATTGGGAGTCCTGGAGCTCAGCGGTCAGAGCACTCACCTCACAAGAGAGACCCGGGTTCCATTCCCGGCAAAGCAAAATGCTGAGCAAGTTTCCTTACTCCACGCGCCTCTGCAGCAAGTAAGAACCCGGTTGTGAGTTGATTGGCGGATCATTTTTCCGGGGTTTAATAATTCCTTAAAAAAAATTAATAATAATAATCATTTGGTCACTCAATCCACGATTGTTTGTGGGACACTGCTGTGTGCAATTGGTTGCTGCGTCTCGCCCACAAAATATACAATGCAGACAATTTGCTTCACAGTATATCCTGGCATTTTTCTGTGACGCACTTTGAGACGTCTCGAAGACGTGATAAAGCGCTATATAAAATGCAAGGATTATTAAGGATTATTTTAGACTGTAGATTGCTGAATCTTCAATGCAGGGAGTTCACTGTGACTGAGTCTGAGGGACAAGGCAGTGAGCAATCTACTGGATCAAACGCCAGGATTATTACTGTACTGATTCGGCGGATTGTAGGGAGTTAGCAGTTATGCTTCAGAAGAAGAAACATCCCCCCATTGGACGGTTAACCTCTCTCGCAAACGCGGATCGAACGAAAGCGCTTTGTATTTCCAGCAGTTTCTCTCGCGGGGTGATAGAGGACCTGTGTGCGTGCTCGGATCCCCTCTGTAAACTAACGCGGTGCCATGTTGTGAGTTGTATTCCACGGAGAAAGAATCGCCTGCAGAATTCCCAACTGCGTGTTGTAAATAAACTTTGCTTCAATGACCAGGATGTCTTGCCATTAGTCTCGCTTTGTTAAACGTGCAATCCCAATAAGTCCTGGGTCTTTTGCGAGGAGGGTTAGACAAGAGAGGTTCATGTCCCTGATCTCACCATTCCAGCCTACCAACAACAACAACAACTTGCATTCACACCGCGCCCTTCGTACGGGATAGCATTCCAGAGCGCCAGAGCACCATCCCGAGCCGGCGGGGGGGGAGGGAGGGGGAAGGTGACCTTAGGCCCGGTCGATTGAAGTGGAAGGTCTTCGGGTGCAATCTGAAGATGGGGAAGGAAGGGGGCAAGGCGGAGGGATAGAGGAAGAGTGTTCGGGGCGCAGTGGCTGAAAGCGCGGCCACCGATGGTGGAATGAAGGGTACGAGGGACACGCAGGAGGCCGGAGCCAGTCGAGCAGCGGCAGCGGATAGTTGGTTGGGGATTGAGCTGCTTGGAAAAAGTGGGGAGCCAGGGCATGAAGGCATTTGGGAACGAGTGCGAGGTTCTTAAAATCAATCCGTTCCGTGATAGGGAGCCAGTGGAGCTTGGCTAGGACTGGTGTGATGGGATTACTGAGTTTAGTCCGGGTGAGTATGCGGGTGATGGAGTTTTGGATCAGCTGGATCCTGTGTATTGCGGAGCTTGGGAGACCGGCTAAGAGGTCAAATTGGGAGGAGCAGACAGAACATCGGTGGACCTGGAGTCACAGCTGGAGGAGGAGAACTGGTGTGATGGAGGTACTGAGGTTAGTGCGGGTGAGTGGAGTTTTGGATCAGATGGATTATCCACCTCGCCAATGAATACACTCACACTGTCTAAGATGACGTTCCATCACATTGCTGCGTGGAGTGAGTGAGGTGGGGGAGAGGAGAGCTGAGTTGACTGAGGAAACCCACGGTGAGACATTAAACCGAGCTCCCGTGTTTATTGGCTGCTGTGCTCACCTACAAAATACAGTCACTGCACCGTACGGTAAAACCCAGTGAAGCGCTTTGAGATGGACCTCACGACGTATCACGTGGAAGGATTTATTACTATTTTCTTTCACTGGGTTAAATCTTTTTAAACAACGCAGTGTGTTGACGAGCAGCCGAGTTTGTTGGCTGGTGAGCGACTTATTATTGCTCAGAATCTACAATCGACTCAGCTTGTAATCGCATGTGATGTGATCGCATTGATAAGCGCTCCGGGACCCTATCCTGCGTGGAGGGCGCAGTATAAATGCAAGTTGCCGTCGTCGTTGATCAAATGTGCACGTGTTGCATTTCTCATCCAAAACACGCAGTCACCACACTTATAAATATTATAATAATAATCCTTGGGTTTGATATAGGGCCTCATCACGTCGTTGAAGCACTTCCCAGGATATGCTGTAAAGTGAATTGACTGTATATTTTGAACCCACGAACAATGCTGTTTTCACGTCACAGTAAACGCTGTGAAAGGCTTTGAGACGCTCTCCCGATGTGAAAGGCACCTACATCAAAGGCAAGGAATATTATTATTAATAATGCTATACGGAGGGGGGAGAAAATCATAATGGATTCAGTTTAGTCACAAGGAAGAAGTGGCACACAAGATGGGACGAGTTATATCTTTCTCTGAGTCAAAGAATTGATCTGATAGTGGAGGAAGATAGATAAAAAATTTTAACAGTGGCAGTGAAAGTTATCTCTCATTCAAAGCCTCTGCTGACATTCCAATCTCAGACACTTACTCAGTGCTATATACGCGCATTTTGCCAACAAAATAGAAGGTCAATTGCTTGGTCTTTTCTGTGACGCACTTTGAGACGTCTCAAAGACGTGGTGAGGCGTTATATCAAATGCAAGGATTATTATTATTATTACTACCATGTCCGTCCCACCCCGTTTAGCGTCAAACTTCCTTCTGAATCAGAATGTTGTGCGTTCAAACCCCTCCACCCCATATTGGGTCTTTGAAAGCCAATAGCCAAGGCTGACACTGACAAGCTGAGTGGTTGGAGGTGCTGTCCTTTGACCGAGATGTTAATCAGCTGGTCCCATCGGCCCCTGTTCAGGTGGGTGTTAAAGACCCTGTGGGATCGGGCTATAGCAAAGCTGGAAAAAAAAGACCGGATATTTAGGCAAAAAAAAACAACTTGCAGAAAATATTCTTTGTGCAACAGAGAGCAGAGGATAGAGGCAACAGTGCAGTCAATTTAACATTGGCCACTGTTTGCCCCATACTCCTTGATACCTTTACCTTTTTTTTAGGCAAGGTTTTCAAGGGATATGGGGCAAAGGCGGGTAATCGGAGGTGAGGTACAGATCAGCCATGATCTAATAGAATGTGGGAACAGGCTCGAGGGGATGAATGGCCTCCTCCTATTCCTATGTTCTAATGTTCTAATAATCTTTGCATTTGATACAGCGCCTTAACACGTCTTCGAGACGTCTCAAAGCCCTTCACAGAATATATCGCAAAGTGAGTTGACTGTATGGCTTGTGGGTGAAACATGGCAGCCAATTGCACACAAGAGTGTCCCACAAACAGTCGCGGATTAAGTGACCAAATTATTTTTGAAGAGGTTAGTAGCCCCGGAATTGTGATCCACCAATCGACTAACAACCGGGTTCCAACTTACTGCTCGGTAAACTCGTGGGGTAAGCGTACTTGCCCACTGTTTTGCTCTGCCAAAGGAACTGAGCCCAGGTCCACTCGCTTGCAAGGCGAGCGCTCTAATCAATACGCTACAGGGACTCCATATTCCTACGTCAAAGATACTCTCGCTGTTCGGGTTGCTGAAGTGTTGCAAAGTTGTGTACGCAGTCAAACAACCGATAGCAAAGCAATAGTTTCAGACAGGAATAGACCATTGAGTCGTCCGCTTGACAAAAGGTTTAGCAATAGGAATAACCTCAAACCCCTTTCACTTCTGAGAAGAGATAATTCAAACCGTTTTGTACTTCCTCATTCTAATGGCTCTGAGGGTGGCCTCTTTTGCAGTAAA